GAATAATATAGGAATGTGAGAGATCATCTCTAATATTGAAATTAATTGAAGCTAAAGTTAGCATTTCATTGTGTGTGTGTTTGCAAGCTTGCAACAACTGTTAAACTTATATTACCGTTATGTAAAAACATGAGAATAATTTTTCAAGATAATATGGAATATAATTTGAACCTAATTTCATGCATTTAGCACACATTTTGTTATTGAATAGCTATCTACTGTGAAATTTAATTATGCTTAAAAAAAAAAAAAAAAAAAAAAAAAAAAAAAAAAAAAAAAAAACCCTACAAATACTATGAATCTGAATGGTAACTGAATCTTTTTTATTAAGAAAATATCCTTGGTAGTGATAACAATTATGAAAAATATGTGAGACTATAATAATCTTCACACCCCATCATGAACATAATCATGATAGAATATGTTAAAGTTTGTTTGCAAATGTGAATGTAAATTGTTTCAATTGAAAAAGAAATAAGGGCCATTCCAAAATACATTCATGTCTGCGGTAGGAAGGGGCTCTCACAACTGACAAAAGTGTCTGTCAGTTGTATGAGGTATGGGGGGTGTATGGGGAAAGTGATTGGTGAAAAATAAACTTTCTCATCATTTTTTTGAGAAATAATTATACTGTTAATTTCAAAGGATATTAATGTTACAATTTTAAAAAAATATCTTGAATTTTAAATTCTCAAAAATTATGAAAATATACATGAAACATCCAATTTGTAAGTAGAAAAAGGAAATGTTTGCAAAGATATTGTTGAAGTGAAACTTCTTTTCTCAGAGTTAAAGTTGATGCATCTGACCAATGTAATGGACAGTAAAATGCTTATTTTCTGGCTAAATTATGTTAAAATGTGCATCAGAGACACTCAAGTCATTTGGTATTTGTTTTGGCAAGACCTATACACTGGCAAAATCAGGAAGTATATACCTCTCATGAAGAGAGATGTTAAAGAAATCAAATAATTTACTTTGATGCATTACTTTTTGCTTAGGCTGCTAGTACCTAGGAGTATCACTGACTGTCTTTTCCTTATTTTTTTTCTGCTTTAGATTATTATTAATTCCAAAAACTTTAACTGAGCAAATTTCCAATTTCTGTATCTTCAAAGTTTCTTTTCTATTGTGTTTGGCACCACTCTTTTTCCTCTCTACACCCTCCTCTTTTTAAAAAGCCTGTAATGCAGAAGGGTTAAGTACAAAAACCAAGAAAGAAAAGTTAAGCTTTGTTAGCTTATTTTTATACAAGAATAAAAAATCTTTGGTTATGAAAGTCTTTAACATTCTTGGATAAAAAACTTACAAAACTTCAATTGTCAATTTAAAATTTTGTCAAACTTTTGTGTTATTTCATTTGGCCAAATCAAATCAAGTTAATTGTTGCAATCATGTTAATTGTGCAATAATATTTTTTTACTCTAAGATAGACACTATTTACAAAGATTTAATATTATTTGTCTGCACTATTTTTGTTACACTATTTAAATTTAAATTAATATACCCTTTACATTTATTCACTTTATCAATTTTTCTGTTGCAATTTTAATAAAATTAGAGTAAAAATTAAAAATAATGCTTAAAAAATAATACAAAAAAGTCAGTTATTATAAAATTAGTAGTAGTGTAGCCAAAAATAAAAATAACTCAAACTCTTTAGGGAGTCCTTTTAACAAATACAAAAAATATTTGCTTGTAGAATTAACAGGAAATGAAACTATGAATTGTGGAACTGAATATGTTATTGTTCCCTTTAGTATAAGAAATACTTGAAAATGTGTTTTTCCTTGCAAGTGAATTTAAATTTTCATTCCATTTTCCTTGAAATAAATCAGATTTTATTAATTCAATGTTACTCAAATTTTTTTGAGAGAAGCCAGGATGATTGAAAAATATCCACCTCTCTCAAAAAAATAGCATCCAACCATATTTGAAAGAAAAGGCTGTTACACATTTAAATTAGTCACAATTTTCACTACAGTGCACTAATTTAGATTTTGTTTTTTATCCTGTTTGCTAAATTGTTGATAAATTAATAATCCAGCACATTCAGAAAAAATAAGTCCAGTAACATACAAAACCAGTTGAAAAAAATTTAAATTCGAGGGAACTTAAAATTTCACATAACACAACACCAAATGTTCAACTCACTGTAAAATTTCAGTAAGTCAGTGAGTCGTGCACTGCTTAAAAAAAATCGCATCTATCATTCACACACTCAAGGACTTAAAAAAAAACTAACATTCAAACAATAAATTATACTTTTTAAATTAATTTCTCTTTCTCTTTTATCAAAAATTGAAAATGATAATTTACAGAAATTAATCTGAAGATACTGAAAACCTCATTCACAAATCATTTACAAATAAAATTCTCATACAACCAAAGTTCACTAAAATGTGCACTCTTTAAATTCACATCCATGAAATCTTGAGAAAATTTGATTTTACTTTGTTTATAGTGGTTATTGATACATTCCACATAAAAATAGGAGCACTGTCATTTAATACATTTAGATATCATCAGTGTTTTTACAACTCTTGACTTCTTTCAAAAGAGTTTGCATTTATATATATTGTATGTTAAATGTAAAAGGTAGAACTATACTGAAGAGAGACAATTATACAAAGCTGAAAATTGTCAGCTCAATATTAGGAAAGTTTGTCAAAAGGAAGGCCAGTAAGATTTCAGTGAGTCAGGAAAATGTCATAATTGTGAATGTTTTGCCATCGCTCATTATCATGAACTAGAACAAGCACACAAATTGATGGTTCATGGAGAATTACTAAAACTGCACTGCAAAGAATAGTTTGTAATTCCTTAAGAAATCATTTTTTTCTTAACAGAATCACAGAAATATCAATGGTAACATGTCTGATTGCACGATACAAAATGCTGCTTGTATATCACCTCACTAATTCATTGGATGTGAGAGACAATAAACAATACTTCATTATCCAATGTGACAGAAGAGCCAGAATGGTCACAAAGATAAATTGTAGATGGAAAAGGTACATTCCCAGAAGATAGCCTAATATTGATCAATTTGCCTCATTTCACTTATCCTACCAAGAAATTAAATACCAACAATATTTTGACCAGAATCTGAATTTCAATGAATCTTGCAAAATTCAAATTATTCCACTAAATTGTCACAATAATTTATACATACACTTTTCAAATGTGGGTGAACAAAACTCACTTTTCACTGAAATAATCAAGGCTTTTAAAAAAATTATACAGTAATTACAGTAATTTATGAAAAAACTAAATCTGTCACATTTAGTTATAACTACCATAGCAATGAACTGATAAAAAAATATGATTAAAGCAAATATAATTGAAAGTTACAAAGTATTTGATATATCAAAGGATATAATACCCTAGGCCAGTACATAGTGATATAATCATTAAGAAAAGAGGCAAACTAGAATCTATATAATTTCAAAAATAATTTGACATTCTGTGACATTCATTAAGAGAAAGAAGCTTTCATATCAAATTTTCATTCTATTAGATTTGTACATCTTTTTAAGCAATATTTCTATTCTAAACAAAATGGGATATAATTTGAAATTTCAAAATTTTTCTTCAAAGCCTACAAATTAATTCATTACTATGGCAGTTATATTGATATTATACCAGGTACTATTCCTGTATTTATCGTCACTGTCAAGAGTCTGTACATTGACTAATATCTAATGTTTCAGCAATGGAATTTATTTTACTTCAAGGCAAATCTACATTAACACAATTCTCTTTCAAATTGTTTCTGGGTGAAGCTATACAGAAACTATTGTCTGAATATCTGTTATTGACTTTTTTGAATGATATTAGGCTTTCACTTTCTGAGTGTACCTGAAAAAATGAATATGTACTTAGAATATTAGAAGCAGAATCTTAGAAGTATTTTATGACTTCATTCATTACTTTTATTTTCATCCTGTTTCTCCTGCTTTCCCTTTATTTTTTTCCATTTTCATAATTTTTAGAATGGGGACAATATATGTAAGCCAGGAGAAAAAAACAGCATTCAACTATATTTGAAAGAAAAGGAACCACTATTTGGTGAAAAAATTATATTATTGCATTCTTTCTTTATGATGTTTTCATTTTAATAATGTAAAAGAATTAATCTCACAATCTAAAAAAATATTTTTATTTTTAATGTGCGGTAGGCCTTTCCTTCACTGTACCCTGAGAATGCTGTCTTATCCTGGTATACATACAGTATTCCAATATTTTTAACATTAATATTATTGTGCATTTGCAATGAATCAAAACTTGATCAAATTGCTAATAATATACATAGCATAAAATGTGTGAAAAATCATATAAAAGTAGGTATGTGGTAATAAGTATTAAGATAAAAATATTAGAACAAGTATATTGGCATGTCATATCCAATTTTCATGTTGGGTTAGAAATATTCTATTGGTAACTAAGGATCCCTAAATGTAATACATCAAGATTAAAAAATATTTTACAACTTATTATTTCATAGCTTTGTACATAAAAGAAAAATACTTAAACATTATTCTTGGCATTAGAATGACACATGATCTTTTATGTCACAGTGTCCTTTGTAATTTATATCCATCATAGTGAGTTAGACATAGTTTCACTGAGTATTTTCATCCATTCTAACTTATCAGATCTTTCTGTCGCTCCACATGCACTCTTCACATATATTTATGAAACCTAGTAACTTCTATCAAATATAGTTTAATTTTTTTAGTTCATAGTAGGTAGTCTTTAATTAATATTTTAAAGCCAGCAACAGGGAAGTACACATGAAATGAGTGTAAGAATCTTTCTCCTAATAACTATGACAATTTTGTTTCTCAGTCTCTTTCTCCACCAAAAATGTAAATATTTTATACTACAGTCTGTAGTGGTTCAAAAAAGTCTCAAAGATGATATTACATTTTCAAAAGTTGAAACTTCATAGATTGTTTTACCTTTGTTCTACTTCAAAACATCAGATCAAAACCTATGAAACTGTCAAACTTTCCAATTTCAGAAGAAACTGTGTATGTAATTGCAACAATTGTGCTAGCAACTCAAGACCTAATGTACAATCAAACAACGTCTTTATAACCAGGCATTTGACTATTGTCATATATACACAATCAAATCCTATTCACCCTTACATGTTATTATAGACATTTTGTCTTCAGTCTAAGGACAGTACAATCTGAATTGTTTTTGGTAACTGAAGGCTAATATTCCCAATTTTATGTGAAGTACCACAATACCACAAGTACTGTCATTAATTCTTTGATTACTTTTATCATCTACCATATTGTATTTCTATGAAAATATTTTTCTAAATATAATACAACTGTAATTAAAACAGTCATAAAATTTCCTTTCTTAGCTAGGTTGCAACATTTTACTGAATCGTGCAATGCAGTTCAGTATTACAAAGATTAAAATATAGACATGATAAAAATGTTTATATTTCAACTACTATCAATATACATTACAACAAGTCACTTTATACTTAATGTCAAATACCACCAGCATGATTTCTCTATGATTGCCTGTCTAAGGACGTTTTAATGGAAGAACTGTACCTGTACACCTTAGACTTCAGTTACAAAAAATATAACTGAAGATAGCTCAACTGCAATTGTGATCCTCATTATGTAGCTCATGTCAGCCTTCTGTGGTCAAGTCGATGATTTAGCACTGCAGGTTGAGAGACGTGGAGATCGGAAAACAGTGTTCTGTAGAGTTCTCTTCCACTTGTCCTGGGTGTCTCGTAATTTTAACAGCCATGTTTGCTAGAAAAAGCACATTAAAACTCAATTTTAATTTAAAAAATTATAAATATAATTCAAGAAACAAGATGAACTATAGTTTGTTCTACACTATTATAATTGGATATGATTTATTAAAGCTTCTAAAATTACTGAATGATTAGGAATATTAGTTTTTGGCATTCTTTTAAAATAATGTTATTCCATACATCACAATGCCTGCAAGAACAGTATCATAACTAAAAAAGGCATCATGTGAAAAATTACTATTAAAGATTCTATGATGCATAAGAAAAAGCCTAAAAAAGAACTGTCAAAACTATCTTCTAATGGATCAATGGCATTTCAAGATATGGTAATTTTCCTGCACATAGGGGCACACAATATTATTGACATTACCTCAAAATTGTAAATTTCTGAGTTGTGTCACAGTTTTGCAAGGAGGTTGTCAACTTCTATCAAAATAATATATTTTAATTTCAGAGTTCACAGAAAGTAGTCTTTAATTAATATTTTATTGCAAAAGGGCAGTTCTCACAGTAATACTCGAAGTTTGATGCCAACTAATAAGTCCCTAGTTACTGTTAAGTCTCTAGTTACTGTTAAGTCCCTAGTTAGTTTACTGGCGGATCCAGGGGGACCATGGGAGCCAAGGTCCCCCTCCCCCAAAAATGTTAGAGTTTTCGTTTAGCTTTCTTTATTTGGAAAAATTGATTTAAATATTTATTTAGGTTTGAATTATGAATTTATTTCAACAATAAAATTGTACAGTATCATATCTACAGTACATAAATAATATACAATATTACAACAAACATGTTTATTATTTAACAAAAATCTATGATGGCCCTTCCCAAAATGATCAGCTGGATCTGCCTCTGTATTAGTTAGGGGGAAAATGTTGAAAGTGATGATTAAATGTTGGCTAACCTCCAAGCACAACTCTTGTGAACATGGCTAATAAGAATTTTCCTGGTCAAATATTATTAATAGAAAGAAATGTTTAAAAAATGTGTACCTTCACTTGATCAGATGGAGCCTGGAATGTATGAATAGTTACAACTTGCTGAAAGCGATTCAAACTGACCAGAACAAATGCAGCTTCCAAACGACAGCTAGCACTTTCTGGAACAGTGATATCATGTATAAAGAACCTATCTAATGATAAAGGTTGTTTATAGACAATGTATCGCATTGATGATTCATTTGATGATGATCCTCTGCTACAGGAACTTGCCCAATTTTCTGAAAGCGATGACTTCTGAAATTTAAAAGTTTCATAAATATTATTTTAGTGACACAGTAATAACATTAAAAAAAACTTTAGTGCTACCTATAATTTGTGCCTAGTGAAAAATAGCTTCATAAATGAGAAACTTCAGTTACCTTCTTCGATAATCCTTTCTTTCTTCGTGTAATGAGAAGCATATCATCAAATAGAACTACAAACATTTCTTGGGGTTTTCCTGAGTCCCACAACTGAAGAGAGCCTTCTATAATTATTTGACGTCTTGGGCTAACAATAATTCGATCACATGGTTGCCTAGTCAAAGCAGGTTTAAGGAACTCAGGCACATAAATTTTTGGATCTAATTCGAATACTGATGGCCAAACTATATTTCTTTGTATTTCCAGTAGACGTTCAAAATTTTTCAACCATTTCATTTTGTCATCGAGCTCACCTGAAAAATTCATTTCAGACCAAAATATTAGAAATATGCAATTAATTCAAAGATTTTGAAAGAAATCATTGACATTCTTGAGTGAGGGCACAAAACAATCAAAATATGTGAACAAAACAAAACAAAATATAAAATTATTGATTTTATTTTAATAAGAATCTGAAACTTCAAATTTACTTTACCAATCATTATGGAAATGGAATAGAATTCATTACTTAAAGAAATTAGTGGTGCTAAAACAGAACAGCATATACTTTCTTGCCCATATTTTCACGCAAAAAGTACTCAAATTTTCAAAAAATTGTACATGACCTTATTTTAAAATCTATCTTTAAGGAACAGATTTCATTAAGAGAATATTTTTCCTTTCTCTTCTGTTAATATTTCAGTTATAGGAAGACTGAAAATATGTTGAACTTTTGCAATTTTCGAAAATTCCGGGTTTTCAATGAACATGGGACCTACACCATTCTCTTAAACGTCTTTCACACTACTCAACAATAAAATTTAATAAGAAATTGATGGAGCCATTTTTTGAAAATTTGGAAAATGTCTCAGGGGCTACATTATTAATAAGTTAAAATATTGGTTTCAAATTCAAGGGGCTACGACATCAGTCAGATTGATTAAGGAATATCATTTTGGAGAAAATCAGCTAAATGGTAGTGTTGTTTCAGTAAGAAGGATCCACAAAACACGAATTCTGGTTAAATAAATTTAGTAACTGGATTTATACACTTTTTCTTTACCAGGGCTCCATAATTAGTTTTTCTGCCATAAATTTGCTGTTTTTTCACTGACGATATAGTTCACGTTCTACTTTGTGTGGACTTCCATAAATTCACAAAGTTTCTTTCCATTATGTTCTTGGTCGACCCACTCTTCTCCTTCCCCCAGGTCTTTGTCTCTTGCCACCTTCCTCGGTCTATCTTCCTGTCTGTCTTCCATTCTATGTGGTCTTCTTCTTTCACGAATTCAATCTGATATGTCTATTTGGCAGGCTTGTCGTATCTGTATCGCTTTCATTTTCCCTTAGCATTTTATTTTCTATTTTTCTTAACCTTCGCATATCTGATACTTCCATTACTTGACATGTTTTTTTGTAGTCTGCTCTAGTTTCGGCTGCATATGACAGTATGGATCTTATTACTGCTTTATATATTCTGATCTAACGAATGACATATACCATATTCAATGGTTGAGACAGCTTTCTATTTCTTTTATACTTTGTTCTTTTGACTCATTTATAGATCACCACTGGTTATCACTATGCCTAAATATTTTATTTCTATCACTTGTTCTATTGAGCATTCTTTACAGCCAATTTGCATCTTAATAGCTCTTTCAAAATCGTTATGTTTTTAGTTTTTCTATTGATATCTTCATTTTCTACGGTTGGCATGTTTTAAAGAATTGGAATAAGAGGTGTTGTAGATTATCGTCATTTCCTCTGTAAAACTGTATCATCAGCAGAGTAGGTGGATTTTATAAGAGAGGTTCAAAATGACATCCTTATTAGCAAGGTCTCTTAAAATGTATTTCATTACTAAGTTCAACAGTTTTGGGCTTAGTGAGTCTCCCTAATTCCTTGGGATGTTTCTATGACTTGATATATTTGTCCATTATGTTTTACTTTGATTCTGTTATTTGTGTATATATCCACGATAAGTTTAATAAGGTTGCATATAATGTTTTATTTCTTTGATAATCTTACCAGGTCTATAAGACATATACTATCAAATGCTTTCTATATGTCTTCAAAGCACATATATGCAGGTTTACTGAATTCCAGAGATTTCACAACAATTTGTCTAATGATGAAGATCATAATTCTTCCTCTTCTAAATCCTTGTTGTTCTTTTCTCTATTCAGTGTGATAGTTTTTGTTGTTAGCTTGAGAGTTATAATTAGAAGATTAATGCCTTTATAGTTATTTGGGTCTAACTTATCTCCTTTCTTGAAAAGAGGGAATACTTGTTTTTCATTCCTCTGGTATTCTGCTCTGTTTATATGTGCTTTGTATAAGCTTGAATAGTTCATTGTGTAGTGATTGTCCTCCATATTTCAATAATTCATTATATATGCCCTCCTATGCAGGTGTCTTTCTATTTTTTATTTTGGACATTGTATTATCTTTTCTTCTGAAATCTTAAAGTCTATGTGAAGGTGTTGACAATATCCAGTGTAGAGGACTCATCACTGGAACATAGAACTATGGAACATACTACTATAGTATGGAATATGGAACATATTACTATAGTATTCCAACCATTCCTTATTACTGATTTTTGTTGGACTTCATTTGTTTCGGATCATGCATTCCTTAAAAAATGCCACATCTGCTTTTGTAGGCCATAAAAGTCATGTTCTAGCCTTGCAGTAAAGGAATCCCAATAATTTTGTTTTATTTTCCTGATCTTTATATTTACTTAGTTTCTTATGAGTTTTTATTCTTTGTAGTCTTGTGATAGTTTGGAGAGTTTATATTTGAGAAATGCTTGCAGTTTCTCTCTAGTTATTTTTTTGACCTCATCTGTGTGCCCTGATATCGCTCTGTAGCAAGAAAGTGAAAATAGGGAAGAACAATTTTTTTTTCCTGTAATTAAATTGACACAGTACTTATGTACTGAATTCTGTAGTACTTATTTCAAATAATTATACAAAATTTCAAGGTATTTTGGAATATAAAAATATATTTTGGAAATAAATAATTTATGTTATTACACAAATCATACATGCAAGAAATACAAATATGTTGAACACGTTTTTCTATTATTACCAAATATTATTTAAAAGAATATATTATTAATATATTAATTATTTCTTTATTTAAATAAAATTATAACTTAAAATATTAATTTAAAAAATCAGGATCAATGCTGATGAAATAAACAATTGCTTACATACTTTACTTGATGAAGGTAAGTTTCTTTTAAGGCAATAAAGGCACAAGGTGTTAATGCACAATGATGCAAACGCAATGATGCAAATGATCTGCATTCAAATACGAATCTACACTACAAGCAACTATATGGGGCAACTAAAGGGATGGGATTTCTTTCAAAATTTTCAGGTGGTCATGGCCTCCTCTTTGGTCCTCCCTAAGTACACACCTATGGAAAATACAGATATGAGAGGACTGAATAGCTGTTGTTAAAATTGGAGGAAGTTACAGATGAAGAAAAAGATACAGAAATTGGAAAAATGACAAGACCCAGTAGTAATTGTGGTGATTTCAAGTACAACACAAATAATATTTGTATGCCTAATATGCAATAGGATTCTGCAAAAGTAAAAAGTATATAAAAGAGAGATTTAACTATACTATTATTCTGAATCTCAGTTTGTCTACTCTGTCGCAAGTTTTCTTTTCAGACTGTTAACATAAAAACCATTATGTAATTTACAAGAATTGAAAATGTAAAGTAGGTATGCATTGTAACTTAGCAATTCAAAGGCTAAAACACATTTTCTTAACTTGAAGTCGTAGGCTTCCATGACCAGAGTAATGTGAATGTTCTTGGTTGCATCAAAGGCTTTGGCACCATATAGCCTTCGATCTGACATCACCCAACAACCAAGAGCATTCATCTTCTTAACTTATTCGTGTTATTTTTAAAGTATGTACTGGTTTATCTCAACCTGTCATAACTTGGATTTAAGTGGAGAAGGCATCAATTTATCAATGTTAACTAACTGGAATTAACAAATATAAAAATAATAATTACGAATTGAATTTTCTTCTGTTTCCAGGATTTGTTGTATCAGTTCGCGTTCAGCTGGTTCTTCTGTTCGTGATTCCACTTCCTTCAGTATAAGTGGTACTTTCATTATATGTTGCACAGGAGCAACTAGTAGATCAGTTAGTTGTAATTTCTTGCATCGAGGATCCCTACTGCACCACTGCAAAATAAAATAAAATAAAATAATATAATAATAACAATTATAATAATAATAACAAAAAATTTAAAAAACAATCTGTGAAACATAAAAATATACCTGTAATTTGAAAAAATAATTTTGTGTGTTAAATCTTTTGAGTTGTGACTAATTTACTAATTACTAACATTTTCAAGTCTTAAGAAATAAGAGAATTTTAATAGTTTAAATGAAGCCATTTATTTACTGCAATAATTCAGTTCACAGAATTTTAAATACTACTCTTTTACAAAAACATATATTTGTATTTAAAATATTGTGGCTATTCTTGTCTAACACTAATTATTGAATGAACACATATCTAAATAAAAACGACATTTCTCTTTACTTGTATATTCTCAATTACTTGACAACATCTTAACTGATCACCAGAACTGAAAATTTTCAAGAATTTCAAGATTCTTAAGACAATTGAATAAAAAATTACAATTAAAATTTTTAATTATAAATTTAAATTAAATTTTCTTTGACAATCATCAATAACATCATCTTGAAACCTAAAGCATTCACCTTTTCAAATTCACAGAATTCTATGTGACGTCTTAATGTTTCTAGGTAATTCAAAGCATTTATGTAATTCAGTGCATAACTGTGATAAGCTTGAGAGACAGAATCGGCTTCAGTACTCTGAAATCATAAAATTTGATGATTAATTAAACATCCAACCATCCTTCTGATCTCTAACAATAATTATTGCACATGCTCATTTTAAACAGACATTTCCCAAAATTGAAAAATATCTCTTAATTGAAATTAATTGCGAAAAAAGTGACTTTCAAATTTGTATTATATCACCTTTTGAAACAGCTTCACCAGTACATCAATCGTAGAAAATTCACCTCCTGGGCCAACATTTGAAAGAAGAAGTGTGATAAACTCCTTACAAAACGCATACGTAACCTAAAAGAAATAATTATAATATTAAAAAGGATGTAGACTTGCATATTACAGGCAGGCTATTATTTTAGTGGAACTCACACAACATAGTTCATCCAAATTTCCAAACAGTAATTCTGGCTCAGCAAACATTGCAAAACCTTCCACTTGAATTTTCTTTAGCGGCTCCATAAACACCTTAAAATTTGAAGGTATGAATCAGGATATTTTTTATTCAAAATACTGTTCTCAATAAAAAAAAAAAATATTGAAACAGCTTTACTTACATTTTTGAGAACCATAAGATGGTCATAGAGGAATGCACATTCACTTTGAAATAAATCCCATACAGCTTCCCTACGTTTTGATTCAATGCGACTGGTTGTGGACACAGGAGAAACCAAAAGATCTTTTTCACTGAGTGTTGATACCAGTGGACTAGGCCGCAAAGGTAATGTCCTGTCCAATCCACGCCATACATTCCGTGCACCAGCCAAACGGCGCTCAAAGCATCGTTCGCTCTGTGCACGAACCAAATTGCCGCGTAACCGCCTGCGAGGAGGAGGTGGAGATGGCTCTTTGGGTGGTGGCGGTGGTGGTGGAGGTGGTGAAGGTTCACGAGGAGGAGGTGCTGGAGTTGGTTCAGGACTGGAAGGGGAACTACTCCCACTGCTGCTACTTCCACTACCTCCTCCATCACGCTGAGATCCTCCTTGGCCGTGTTGCTCCACATGGGCAACAAATTCAGTCCAGCACATGCCCCGGAAGCGGGATAATTGCTCATCATCAAAGTCAACACGAGGCATACAGCTCAACACTTCTTCTAACCCACACAGGCTGCCAGATTTCCCACGGCTTGAGCGTTCAAACTGCACAGAAGATAAAGGATTGACTGATTACACAACAATAAAAATTTGAACAATACATAAATTTAGCTCAAAGATAGTTTCCTATATTTTTAAGACTTTTATAACATAAGGGAGTTTCTGATTAACATACCACATGGAATGTCATTTCATATAAAAATATTTACAAAGGTTTTTCATTTATTGAATTTTTATAGAACATCAGTAAAATAAAAGAAATCACAGAAAGCAGAAAATAACAAATAAAATTAACCAGAGAGCACAAAAATACACTTACCACATATTTAGTCAAAGCAGTTGTACATCAGAACATGAACTACCAAAGACAAGCCAATAAATACTATGAAAAAAAATGGAGACAAAAAAAAAATTCAAACTATTCTTTCACAGAATATGAAAAAGACAGCAAAATACACGAACAAATAAACACATTCACAATTTTAATTGTTTTAATCTCTAATACAGAAATTTTCAGAATTTCAATCTTTGAAACAAAATTGTCAATATATATTATATTAAAAAAATACATTTAAATATTTATATTGATATATTTTTTCTTTCTATCTATATAATAGCTAATTTATTTAAAATCTGCAATTTTTTCAGCATTTGTTTTCACTGTTTGTGTCCCAGCAAAGTAAAAATTGCATAATAATTTTCCTTGCCCAAATATTGAGTAAGATTTCTTTCACTCCTTTTAATAAAAAATATTGTTATAAACAAAAGAGATAAAACATGAAAGAACAAAACAGGTCTTCACATTCAGGGAAAATATTAGACACATTACGAAATATAAGAGCAGTCAAGGTAAAACATGATTGCTGTGGGTGAAAACAATGTGAAGAAGTGAAAGTTGCAAAAGAAAAGGGGGAGACTATCAAACACTGTAAAATTTGATGAATCAATGCAGAAGGATGAGAAACTAAGAATTTTACACTGAATAAATATATCCAGCATAATAACAGGTAGGTAAAACAGTGAGAAATAAAAAACATTAAACAATAAACATTCATTTCAATTACAAGATATAAAGCAGACTTAAAACATATCAACAAGACAACATTTTGAACATGACATCAACACAAATTAAACATACTTACTAGTCTTAAAAGAGACCAGGTGTTCTTTCCTTTTCTTGAGTTCACTCCATCTGGAAAGAGGCAAAAACATACTTCAAAGAAATTATAAATATTTTCTGAGAAGACATCCATTTTACACATATATCTACACATAGTACTACCAATCAAGCATGCAAAAGGAACTCAGTCCTTTCAGAGAATAATGGTTGTTGAACAAATTTTGCATTTAAGGGAATGTAAAATAAAAATATAGAAATTTGAGAAGGAGAGAAGCAGTTTTGGTATTCACCTGTGTCGGAAACTGCTAGGCTGGTCGTTGAGCCATCTACGTCTGAAAGTAAAATTGCATGCATCACACTTTAGTGTCTCTTCAAGAGTGGCAAATGGGTGAAAATCATACCACATATCATTTTAGGTTTATTAATCATTTGCAGATTTAATTTCCAGGAGTAAAAATTTAATTCAATATGAAAATATACCATTAGCGTCATAAAAATTGCTGTTATATCAAGCATTTTATCTCCAAACACTTTGTAAAAGGATCCACTGCATGCACTACTAGCTTTCAATTTTCAATTTTGATTTTTATATTGACTTTCAGATTTGAATGATCATGTAGAGTTTCTTCATTTCAAAACAAAACAAAAGATCATTAAGAGTTATTTTGCTTCTTTTTGAATATTTAATTTAAAAATTGTCAAGTTGCATTTTAATTGCACATTTTTTCAATGGAAAGTTACAAAGTTATAATCTTTCTTTGAAAAAAGTTTTTCCAAAGAATTTTTCACATTCACACATCCATATTACAACTATAAACACATATTAAATAAATAACGTGCATAACCAGTGGAAAATAAAAAGAATGGTACTGAAGTGTAAAGGAGAAAAATTCTAAGAGAACATCAAATGACATCCATTCACATCAAATACATGTAACTGTGTGGTACTTTAAAGCACTGCAACATAACAATCTAAATATTGCTCTACTGTTACATTAACAAATATAAAGGTTGGATTTACAAAAGGGGGTAGGGCAGCTCAAGGCACTATACTCCTGGAAGGGACATGAAAAGTTATGCAAATTGTAAATACCATTAAAAATATACTTTTAGAATGTTTAAAAAAAAGTACTGAAATTAATTTTGTGAGGGCTTTGAATATATGTAGACACTCAAGTTGCAATGCCTTAAAACTGGCCTTGGGTGTCATAAAACACAAGCAAGAGTACAGAATGTAGTCCCTACCCAACAAGTTGTTACGGTGAGTAAGCACTTTGCTGTACACCAACAAGTCTCCTGGGCATATCTGCATTGGAGGGATGACAACAATTGAACTTCGCCTTGCACGAGCTGAGCTTCCATCTGATGTTCTGTAATGTAATAATAAACCTTTACATACTATCTCACAGTGTATAACATAGTATGGCATTTTACAATGAGAAAAAACAAATGAGAAAAAACATTCACCATTGTCAAGAAGACTTTTCAACCCTTATCAAAAAATGTCAAATATAGAATTTTTGAAAGCAGAATTCTTAGCAAGTAATATTCTTACAGGTCAGGTAGGAAAGAAAGGTTATACAGTTGAACATTATTCTCACACACCACACTCAGGAATATGCAGTTGAACATTCTTCTCACCATCATGAACCGCATGAGTTTTGTATTCAATTCTTAATGAAGATACAGAGACAAAGTTTCCCTTTCCTTTTTTAATGTAGTCCAAAATACAAAACAAAATAATTTAGCATTCTATAAACTTCAGAAAACATTAAATTAAAAAATATTTTACTGTAGTGTACCAGTGTAGGACTATTTCAAAAAAGTTGAACTTTGCAACGACTGACATTTCAGGTGTTAATGAAAATGAAAACTATGCCACATTTTTGTGTGTACTTACTTCATCATTACAATTGCAATTTAAAGAAAAAATGGAACAATTTTTCATATATTTTGGAAATGACTTATGGGCTATTCTCAAAATGAAAGATTCAATTCAGATTCATAGAGCCATAATGTGTGGGATAGGGACAGAGAGATGGAAAGGGTCAGAGAGAGAAAGTGAGGGACAAGGACGAGAGGGACAGGGTGGGGTAGAGGGGGAAATGGAGGCAGGAAAGAGGGAGAGGGAGATGGTCAAAGGGATATAGTTAGGGGACAGAGAGGAGAAAGGGAGAAGGACAGGGAAGGGTAGAGGGGGAGATCAAGGGAGGAGACAAAGTGAGGAGATAAAGTGAGGGTCAGGGAAAGGGAGTTGAGGAGAGAAGAATTAAGGGGACAGGGAGAGGTAGAGGGGGAGATCGAGGGAGAGGTCAGAGATAAATAGTTGGGGACAGAGGGGTGAGAGGGAAAGGGACAGGGAGGAGACCGAGGCGAGGGCCAGGGAGTGTGCCAGAGTGAGTGCGGAGGGGAGACAGAGGTGGGAGTCGTGGCGAGGGAGACAGTGGTTTGCGGCGGCGCGACGCTGTGCGGAGAGCGCGTACTCACGCGGAGAGCTTGCGTTCCTCGCCGCCCTCGGCGAGCAGTTTGGGCGGGACGAGCGCGCGGCGGCGGGTGAGCGCAGAGGCGGGCGGCGCTTGCTCCTCGGCGTTGTCGTCGTTCTCCGGGTCCGTCAACCCGCCGCCTCCTCCCCCGCCGTCGCGGACGCGCCGCGGCGGCAGGTCCTCGTCCGTGTCGTCGTTCGGTCGACGGTGGAACACAGAGTCCTGCAAGAGCCACCAATGGCGTAGTAGGGGTGGGCAGGGGGGCGGACCGCCCCGGGTGACATCATTTTAGGGGAGACACCAATTACAAAATTTTATACTTGGGATTATACAATTTTAATGATTTATTTAAAATTTGCATTTTAATCATAAATACTACGCAGAAAAATAAAAGAGATAATGGGCAAATAAAAGAGATAATGTAAACTAAACCGCGAAACTATAAGCGTTAAGCGCCTATTCTTCACTGGTCCAAGAGTCTACA